AAAAATAATAAAATAGTTATTTTAGAATAATTATCAATTTAAAAAAAAATTTTAAATTATTAATTAATTAAATTTTAATAAATTTACATCAAAGGCAAATTATATTAAAATAAATTACCGTATAGACCCGCATATAGCCCCCCTGACGGTTTTTTAAAATTTTAAAATCAACATTTGGTAGGGGGTTATTTTTCACATATAGCCCCCCCCTACTGGGGCTATATGTGAAGTCGTGGGGGAAGGAACGATTGGGGGAAGGAACGATTGGGGGAAGGAACGATTGGGGGAAGGAACGATTGGGGGAAGGAACGATTGGGGGAAGGGTTACATATAAAATCGGTCTAATAAATAAAAAAATATGTAATGATCTGTAATAAGCTATGATTGTTATACGGATTATGTATTTAAGTAACAAAGCATTTAAATACAGTATAATAGCATTGAATTGAAAAATTATTTAAAAAAATTAAAATTTACAGTTTATTATAATTAATAGTTTTAGTTTAGACTTTACACTGATCGGTCAATAGATGGCATGGGGGGTATATATATACATTCAAAAAAACTACAATTAACTGACTTATTAAGAGACTTATTAAAAAATATGTTAATTACATTGATATAAGTTTGGAGGAAAGTATATTTAACTACGTGATCGGTCTATTGACGGTTATAACATTTATACAATATAATAAATAAAATTATACCTTTTGTTCGTCCACCCAATGCATATAATTTATCATTAAATGCAATCAATTTAAATCTATTTCTTTCTAAAAGCATTGGCGCTACACAAATAAAATATGTATAGAAAATTATAATTATTTTATTATAAGTAATTATAACCAACCAATTTGTGTCCATTGATTTGTTTTTGGATCATATGTCTCACACGATTTCCCATTATTATAACTATCACCGCCGCAAACATATATTTTATCCATAAATGATGCTGAACCAAAACTACGTCTTTAAATATAAAATTATTAATATTAAAAAAAATTAAACTAAATAATTTTAAAAATTGTTTTTGTATTTTAATCTGAAGTGCAAATATTTAATAAATATTATATTTAAATTTATTTTTATTTATTTAATAAATATTCTATAATAATACTGATTACAAGTATATAAGATTTTATAATATATAAATATACAATGTATATAGACATATTTTTAAACTAACCTTTTATATTTCATATTAGCCATTGTTTGCCATTGTTGTGTTGTTGTATCATATCTTTCCATTGTATTAAAAGATACTTTTAAATTATTACCTCCGATAGCATATATAAACCCTTCGTGTGCTACCAGTTCCAGATTACTTCTTTCCGTAGCCATTGGTGTTGTAAAAGACCATTCATTAGTATTATTTGGCGAATAATATTCACATGATTTTATAACATTTACTGTAAAATAGAATTATAAAAAAATGTCTTAATTTTAAAAAAAATTATTTAGTTTATTATTTATAAATAGATTAGAATAATATTTTTTTATTTGTTTAATTTCTATTTTTAAAAATTAAATATCGTTTTTTTAAATAAAATTTATTATCAATTCAGAATTATGATTATGATGATATATCTATAAAATTATGCATATATTAAATCCTATATAAATTGTTACTAAAAAACTATTGCTACTAAAAATATTTTATAAATTAAAATAAGAATTGACTTGTACGAGAATATACTATTTTAAAATAAAAATGTTTTATACATTGTTTTTATATCTTATAAATTGTTTACTTACCATTATCCTTATCAAAACCACCACATACATATAAATTATTTTCTAATACAGTTGCATCATGTTGACTTCATAATAATTAATACATTAATATTTATATATTCTAATAATTTTATTTTAATTGTTTAACATAATTTTTATAATTTATATAAATACCTGCGTATTATATTCATGGATGCAATTGATTTCCATTGATTTGTTTGTGTATCATATGTTTCAATGCTATTCAATTTGTTTTCATTCTTAATATAAATTAATAAATTTTGTTTTATAAATAAATTAAAGATTAATAATCATTTATTTCAATATAAGTTTTTACATACATTACTGCCGCCGATTGCATACAATTTTGAATCCATTGAAATCAAACTAAAATAATGCCTCGGAGTAGACATTGATTTTACTGATTGCCAAACACTTGTGTGTGTATTATATTTATAACATTCAGACAATACAGATGTCCCATCATTTCCACCGCATATATAGATAAAACTATCCGATAAATCAATTGTTTTCTAAATTAACATAAAATAAAATTGTTTGCTATAATTGAAGTTAATTAATTTTATAATAGTAATTTTAATTGTAATTTATAATTGAAAAATCAACTTTTTTAAAATACAAAAATGTAAATTATAATTATATCTCTCTATTTACTTATTTTTTTTAAATTATAAACTTTATACTACCTGAGATGATACCAATGGTATGTTTATTGTATTTGTGCTAAGCTATATAAATGAAAGTAAATTTTATTATTCATCTATTAAAACAATTATTTATTATTATTATTCAATTAATTTCGATTACCCGATGATTACTCAAACTTGTTGTCAATTGTTGACTGTTTATTAAGTCTCGAATTGTTTTCAATAAGTTTTCTCTTTCGGCCTCTAATTCATTGATTTTACTTAACAATGACTCATCTCTTTGAATGTTTGATGGATTGTATCGACAATTGTTTAAATGATTTGTCAGATACTCTAATATTATTACTTCAGTACAACCCTTATCCTGGAAATCACATTTGATTTGAAGTTTTCCCAACATATTAACCATAATTCTAAACAACAAAAAATTAATAAATATTTAGTTAAATTTATAAAATTTAATAAAATGTGATAACCAGTTAGGGTTAGATTGAGATTCCCAAATAAAATCCCTCCAATTTTCCCGGAAAATATGGAAAATATATTATATTCCCTCCGTTGATCGTTAGAAAGGGAAAATATAATTTGTCATATATTAAAAAGTATATAATCTCAATGATTATGTGTTTCAATTGGGACTACTATGTTAGTAATAACTCAATCAAAATGTGATTCAAATAATATTAAACATTTAGTAAAAACTTTAAATACATTTTGTAGACATTTACTATACAAATGTGGTTTTAATATTTAATTTATGTGAAGTGAGTTAGGGTACGATAGATGGTACCACAAGGAAATGTCTTCTCAGGGAACAGGGAACTTATGAAAAATAAGACGAGGGAGGGAATCTGATCTAACCCTATATATATAAATTCAAATCATTATTATATTTTTAACGAATAGTTTTTTTATTCATTATATTTTAAATAAACTTTAAAATTATAATTAAAATGATTAAATACATAATTAATTAATTAAAAATATTATTTTAAAAAATATGCAAGACATACCTGGGTGATTGGGTTAATGCCTCCGTTGTAAGTGTTTTTCTATCATACGGACAGATGTTGTTAGTCGACAGCCAATTGTTGATACAGTCTTTGCAAAATGTATGGAGACAACACTGGGCTATAACTGGACAGCAAATAATATTCAGACATATACTACATGTTAGCTCAGCCCTATCCGATGGACTTAGATTAACAAATCGGTTGCAATCATAACCAGGCATTTTGTATGTATGTGTAAAATATGTTAATTTTTAATTAACTATTTAATCAATTGAATACAACATTATACTAATTGTCAATTTTTTTATATAATTAACTATTACTAATAACTTGTTTTTTAAATCATTTGAATTCAATACAATAGCAATTAATTATATTTTTTGTTCACTTTATAAATATTTAGATAAATTGACTATATTTTTATAATAGTCATAAATTAATTTATCTTAACCATACTACAAATGCTACTAATGCATATGAAATAATATACATGATAGTAACTTTATTAGTGTAATAACAATAGACTTTTAATTAAAAATACATAATTTATATAAGTATATTATTATTTTAGTTTATAATATTATAAATATTTGTAACATGAGTTATGATAAATAATTTTAAATTATGAAATAAACAGTTATTTAACAACAATTATTTTATATTTTATTTTTTTGCAAATTATTTTAGCAATAAATTTTATTATTAATTGATTATAACTATAGTATTTTTTATTACTGTATTAACTTTAATTGTCTAACAATTAGACTGGTAATGTATACACCCATATATAACATTTTTTATAATTAACTAAAATAAATTTATAATATAAAAATGCGTCAACTACATAACACTGATAAATTATTAATAAAAATTTATACATTGTTATTACTGTAATTTAAAATTTTATTAATAGTTGCAAATAATTTAATTATTAATTAATATTTATTTATTTATTAAACTCTATATATGATATATGAATGAGTTGTAATTAACTATTAATTATTATTTCACACAATAAAAAATTATTTAATACTTAATTTATAAATTTGTTATTGTTGTTAACTTATACTAATTTATATGTATATTTAAATATATATATATTCTATATTATATAGAATTTATATTAATAATATTTCATAAAGTATGATAAAATAATTATCTTAGCATTAAATTATACTTTTAATTTAAATGAAATAATAACAAAAAATATTTTTTTTAATTATATTTAACTAATATTTTATGTGATAATAATTATAGTAATATTTTTATTATTATATTATTTTTTAGTGTTTAACAATTACATTGATAATATAAAAATAAAATATGTTGATATTAAATTATTGTTATTGTTAAATTGTTAATAATTTAGTTAAATAAATTAACAATAAACATTTGATTAAAAATATGTAAAAAATTATAAAATAATTAATAATAAAAAACTCATTTTTATTAAACATAAATTCTATGATAAATTAATTTTTATTTAATAATTTCGATATAACAGTTGCCTAAAAAATACAATTTAATAATTAATAAAAAAAATATTAACAAATCATTTAATATTTTACCCCAAAGCCTGAGACTTTTATTGGCAATGATGTCGTATAATACCATTGATTCGCTTTATAATCATATATTTCAACCGAATCTGTGTAACCATCTATAAAAATATTTGTAAAACAAAAATTTAATAATTTATTTACAAAAAAAACAAATATTTTATAATTTTTTTTAGGAGTTAATAATAATTTTAGTTACTTATTAATTATTGAATTAATCAAAATAAATTTAATAATAGACAATAAAAATTATTACAAGTAATAAAATTTTTGATAATTAAAATAAATCAATTTAAAACTAATTTTGTTATTAATAAAATAAAAAATAATCTTTATCTGTTAGTTTATTGTCTATAATATAAATAAAATAATTTATTTTAGAATAAAAACATTTTATGTGTAATTTTTAGATTAATTAAAATTGAAAAATAATTTATATACAATTAATAAACTTTGTAGTTATTTTAAATAAATTATATAATTGTAATAAAAAAGAAAAATTTTAAAATTATTTATAGATTAATAAAATTATAATAAATATGCCAATTTTTGTTAATAATATATTAATAATAAATAAAATATACCATTTGTTTGTCCACCCAATGCATATAATTTATTATTAAATGCAATCAATTTAAAATCAGCTCTTTCTAAAAGCATAGATGCTATAAATAAAATATAAGTACAAAGTATAATAATTAATTGAATTACTAATAACCAACCAATTGGTGTCCATTGATTTGTATTTGGATCATATGTTTCGCATGATTTATAATTACTATTACCATAACCGCCGCAAACATATATTTTGCCCATAAATGATGCTGAACCAAAATAACATCTTGAAATAAAAAATATTAAATATAATAAAAATAAATTTAGTAAATAAATTATAGTTAAAAAATAAAGTATTTGTGTATTGCATATTTATACTGATTACAAGTTTAAATAAATATATAAAATTATATATTAAAAGTAACCTATTATTTGTCATATTAGCCATTGGTTGCCATTGTTGTGTTTTTGTATCATATCTTTCCATTGTATTTAATATACTATTATCTTTAATGATACCTCCGATAGCATATATAAACCCATTGTGTGCTACCAGTGACAGACCATGCCTTTCCTGACTCATTGGTGTTACAAAAGACCATTCATTATTATTTTGTGAATAATATTCACATGATTTTATAGAATTGTCTGTAATATAAAATTAGATAAATAAGTCTATAGATAGAGATATAATTTAGTTTATATAAAAATATTTAATAACATTTTATTTGATTTGTTTTCATTAGCTGATATTGATTTTTACTAAATGACTATATCTCTGCAAATAGCAGAAAATTTTTATTTTTTAAATAATTATTATCAATCAATTAATTAAGAATTATGTTTAAAATTTCATTTTTATTTTTGTTTTTTTAATCTAATTCTCATTTATCTTTAAAATCTATACATCTAATAAATTGTATCAATTTACTAAAAAACTATAAATATATAAATATTAATTTATATTCAAATTGCGTTTTATATAACAATACCTTACATTTTTCTAATGTCTAGAAATAATTCAAATTAAAAAAAAAAACTCTGTTGCTAAATGAAATATTATTTACTAAATATAAATATATGTAAATAGATTATGTTAAATTAGTTTATATATAAATTAAATTAATAAATTAAATATTATTTTATATAATTTATATTTATTTATTATACACTTACCATTGTAACCACCACAAACATATATTGTATTTTCTAATACAGTTGCAGCATGAGAACTTTATAGCATTTAATACATTTAATTAATATTTAATTAATATTTAATTATGATAATAATTTTGTTTTAATTGTTTAACATACCATCGTATTATATTCATCGATGCAATTGATTTCCATTGATTTGTTTGTGTATCATATGTTTCAACACTATTCAATTTGTTTTTACCCTTAATATAAAATATTTATTTATGTTTTAAAAATAATTTTAATATAAGTAATAATTTATATTTTTTAATAAGATTTTACATACATTCCAACCGCCGATTGCATACAATTTTGAATCCATTGAAATCAAACTAAAATACTGTCTGTGAGTGGACATGGATTGTATTGATTGCCAAACACTTGTTTGTATATTATATTTATAACATTCAGCCAAAACATATTTCACATTACTACCACCGCATATATAGATAAAACTATTTGATATGTCAATTGATTGCTAAAATTTATAAAAATAAAATATATATTTAATAAACAATTTAACATATAATTTTTAATAAATATAATTTATGAACACATAACAACATAAAAACATAACAAACAAAATAATAATCATTTTTATATGATTTTCTTATTTCTAAACTAAAATATATTTTATATAATTTAATTAAGTTTTATACTTTCTAATTAAATATATAATAATAATTTATAAATGAAATCAGTTTTTATTAGAATTTATAAAAATATAAATGAATTTTACTTAAATAATTGTGTTTCTCTTAATTTAGTAATTAATTATTTTTATATAAATATTAAACTTAATACTACCGTTGATGATACCGATGGTATGCTAACTGTATTTGTGGTTAGCTATAAAATGAAATAAAATTTTTATTTTAGTAATCTATTAATTTTTTTATTATTTAATTTAAATTACCCGAACATTACTCAAACTTGTAGTCAATTGTTGACTGTTTATTAAATCTTGAATTGTTTTCAATAAGTTTTCCCTTTCGGACTCTAATTCATGTATTTTTCTTAACAATGACTCTTCTCTTACTGAAGTTGTTGACAATAGACTACTGTTTGATGTATTGTATTGACAATTAATTACATGATTTGACAACTCCTCTAATGATATTATAATCAGTACAACCCTTATCCCGGAAATCACATTTGATTTGAAGTTTTCCCAACATATTAACCATAACTCTAACAAAACAAATAAACAAACAAAAAGTTTACTTTAATATTAGTAACAAGTATTTAATGATATAAACAATAGTGATATAAACAGTATATATTAATAGAAAAAATTATATTATATTTTAACTAATAACTAATTAATTAATTTAATAATAGTTTTTACAACATAAACGTGTACAAAGTTATCATTAAAATAATTTATATCATATTAACCATAACTCTAAATAAACAATATTCAAATCTTTATAATATATTTAACCTAAATTATTTTATTAAATATTATATTATTACCAAGTTTAGATGAAAACTAATTGAATAATTGAATTGCTTAAATATTAAATAACAAAAAAATATTTACATACCTGGGTGGTCGGGTTAATGCCTCCGTTGTTAGTGTTTTTCTATCATACGGACAGGTATTGTTAGTCGACAGCCAATTGTTGATACAGTCTTCGCAAAATGTTTGGCGACAACACTGGGCTATAACTGGACAGTAAAATATGTCCTGACATATACTACAGGTTAGCTCAGCCCTATCGGCTGGACTTAGATTAACAAATCGGTCGCAATCATAACCAGGCATTTTGTATGTATGTGTAAAATATGACAATTTTTAATATAATTAACTATTAAATCAATTGAATACAACACAATACTAATTAATTTTTATGCTATCATATATATATATATATAGGTATAATGTCAATTATAATTATCTTAATGATAAATTATTATAATCTTAATTCAAATGAAATAGTAAACACTTGAAGTTAACATTTAATATTTTATTTTACCGCATTTAATTTTTATTAATAAATTTTTTTAGTAATCTTAACGATTGAAACTATAGTAATTTTTTTTAATTGGTAACTTTAAGTGTATTAACAATAAACTCATAATATACTAGTATTTATATTTTTATATAAATATATTATAGTTATACTATTATAAATATTTTTAACATGACTTAAATATTTAAATAATTTACATTATACTCTTGAATTACTCTACAATTAAAAAATAGTTAATAATATTTAGTAAACATATTTTAAATAATGTTAATTTAGTTAGAATAGCTAAATATTTTTATTATAAATTTTTATTTAATTGATTTTCTTTTATATTAAAATAAAATAAAATAATTTCATTAAACTTAACACAAAGTTCAAGTTTTGATATTATAAGTACTTATGAATTATTAATAAATATTTTTATTATTAAAAGATTGAGGTAATATTACAGTATATTAATAGGTATACATTATATAATAATCATTGTTATATACTGTATAATATATTTAGTATAAAGTATAAATGTATTATTACATTAAAATTAGATATAACAAATTTATTTTATATAAATAAATTATACACCATAAAATATTTTTAAAAACCAAATTTATTAATAAAATATTTTTATTTTATAAATAATTATTTTAAAGAAAAGTTATTTAAATTAATTTTTAGAAATCAATAATTAGATAAAATTTTTGTTTATTTGTTTCATTTGCTATTATTTTTTTAAAAAAATAATTTTGTCTTTAGCTATTCATATAAAAAGCTATCTATATTATTATACTGTATTATATTATACAAAAAAAAATATTTATAAATTAAATTAAAATTGTGGTTTTATTGAACTTAAAATCACTGAATTATTGAATTTATTATCATAATTTTTTTTTATAATAGTGGCCTATAAAATAAAATATAATAATTAGAATAAAAATTTAACTTAAAATATCTTAAATTATTTTACTCCAAAATATCCAATTTTTATTGGCAATGATGTCGTATAAAACCATTGATTGGATTTATAATTATATATTTCAACCGTATTTGTGTAACAATCTATAGAAATATTTAAAATATATTAAAAATTTATTTCATTTCAATTTTTATAAATAACAGTTAATCATAATTTTAGTATAAACTTAATAAATTTATATTAATGATTATTTATTTAATTAAAATGAATAGAATAGATGTCTTATTTTACAGTTATTTAAAAAAATAAATAAATTTAATAACAAAAAAATTATTACTAGTAATTTAAATATTTAAACTATTTAAATATTATATTTTTTATATAATCTATAGCTGATATTATTTTAATTGTTATATACAATATTATAAACACATTAGTTCATTAAAATTTTGAAAATTATTTTATTTAATAAAAATAATTTATATAAATAAATACCGGTATAAACACTTACCATAGAAACCACCACATACAAATATTTTGCATTACAGTTTCATCATGGGCACTTTATGAAATTTAATTTGTTTAATAAATATGTTTTTTATGAAAACAATAATATTAAAAAATATTCAAATATTTAGTTATAGCAATACTCGCGTATTATATTCATCGATGTTATAGATTTCCATTGATTTGTTTACGTATCATATGTTTCGACACTATTCAATATATCTTTACCCTTTAATATGAAATTAATTATTAGTGTATCATATTTTTTTTTTAAATTTACATTTCCATTATTACCTCCGATAGCATATATAAACCTTTTGTGTGGTACCAGTGCCAGACCACCCTTACTGTACTCTTTCGTGTTGCAAAAGACCACTTATCAGTATTTGGTAAATAATATTCACATGATTTTATAATATTTTCTGTAAAAAATAAAATTATATAAATAAGTTTACCTGTCTTAATTTTGCAAAAAGTTTATTTAATTTAGTTTATATAAAGAAGTTTAATAACATTTTTTATTGATTTGACTAAATGGCTATATCTCTACAAATATTGGATAACATATTTTCAATAATAATTATTTTCAATAAATTAATTCAGAATTATTATTAATTAATGAAATTAATTTGATTATTATTTTTGTTTTAATCTAATTATGATAAATCTTATAAAAATTGTACATATATTAGATTTTATTTATATAAAACAGGTCAATATTAATTCAAATAACAATTATGTTTTTAAATAAAAACATATATAAATAGAAAATGTTAAATTAGTTTATACATGAAATAAATTACAAATTATAATACACAATTCTTTATAAAAATTTCTCATTAAATGATAAGTTTTAAATTTATTTTTTAACTAATGCTTAATAAATAATATTTAAGAAAATCAAATAGGAATAAGCTTACGTATTTGAAATATGTTTGATTTATTATACACTTACCATTTTAACAACCACATACATATATTGTATTTTCTATTACAGTTGCATCATGCACTTTACGATATTTAATACATTTAATTAATATTTATTTATAATAATTACTTTTTTTAATTGTTTAACATAATAGTAATTATATATATATATATTATACCTGAGTATTATATTCATCAATGCTATTGATTTCCTGTGATTTGTTTGTGTATCGTATGTATCAATAGTATTGAAATGGTTTTTACCCTTAATATTAAATAATTATTTATATTTTAAAAATAATTCTAATATAAATAATAATTTTTTATTTTTAAATAAATTTTTACATACATTCCAACCGCCGATTGCATACAATTTTGAATCCATTGAAATCAAACTAAAGTAAGCCCTCGGAGTGGACATGGATTGTATTGATTGCCAAACACTTGTTTGTGTATTACTGGTCGATCCATAAAAAGATAGCGATTAAAATACTACAAACAATTTATAAAAACTAAATTTAATTTTATTTAAAGTAATCCTCCTGTGCCTGAATGCACTTGGTCATACGCCTCCTCCACCTTTCAAACGCCTCCTCCCAGGCAGTTTTCGCAAGCGACTCAAAATACTCTATTTTTCGAGTCATCTTCATCTTCAGACACAAATATCTTTGCTTCCCGTGACAGTATTGGCCCGTAATAATCATAGTCACTTCATCAACTTTTACTATCTTAGTGGTGGTATTATCTCTGAATTTCTTCTAGGGGTTTAGAACTTATTGACATTTTTCCAACCTATCCCCCTTTTGCTCTCCACTTAGAAGATGGGGTACAAAACCACAAAATTGCTTCTGTACCTTTAATTGGTCAGCACATATTCTTCAAAGTATTTTGCCCCGAATGCCTGATTTGTACTTCAACTCGTGGTATGTAATACTTGGATCAGCTCTTATTATGTCTTCGACAATCGCTGCATTTTCCGGGGTATTCTCCGAAACAGGCCGTTCCTCAATAGGGTTGTTTTCAAGTGACTACTGTCACCTTTTGAATTCACGTATCAATTTGGTGATTGTACTAAAACTTAAAGTAATATGTCCTTATACTGTGTTGATGCGCTGGTCAATCACTTCCAACTCTTTAGTCTTCATCCATTGATAATAAATGATGGCCCGAATCTGGTTCGCTTTCAAATCATTTTGACTGTTCAAAAAAACTCTGACACCACTTATTTAAATGACTATAACTTTTGAACAAATAAACAAAATTTGATGAAAATCACACCAAAAGCAAATCAAATGTATACAAATAAGAGAGTGTAAAAAGATTTTGGCTAACATTCATAAATAACGTTTCGCTACCTTTATATGGCGCGAAGAGTATATTTATAACATACAGACAATACAGATGACCCATCATATCCACTGCATATATAAATAAAACTACCATCGGATAAGTCAATTGATTGCTAATAATTAACATAACAATCAAAAAAATTAATAAGTTTTACTAACTTCTATATTTCTAAACTAAGCAATAGATTATATAGATTTATTAAGTTTTTCTTTCTAATTTAATAAAATCTAATGAAAATAAAATCAAAGTTTGTATTAATTTACACAAATAAAAATGAAATAAATGTTTTTTCAATTAACTAAAATTTAAATAATTTTTCTAATAAATTTGTGTTTTTCTTAATTTACTAAATTAGTTATTATTTTTAATTTATAAAACTTAATACTACCTGTAATGATACCGATGCTAAGTTTACTGTATTTTTGGAAGCTATATAAATGATAGAAAATTATTAATCTATTAAAACAATTATTATTATTATTTATTATTATAATTATTTAAATTAATTTCGATTATATGATTATTACTCAAACTTGTTGTCAATTGATTACTGTTTATTAAGTCTCGATTTTTTTTCAATAAGTTTTCTCTTTCGGCCTCTAATTCATTGATTTTTCTTAACAATGACTCTTCTCTTTGAATGTTTGATGGATTGTATCGACAATTGTTTAAATGATTTCTCAGATACTCTAATATTATTACTTCAGTACAACCCTTATCCTGGAAATCACATTTGATTTGAAGTTTTCCCAACATATTAACCATAATTCTAACACAAAACAAAAAATAAATATTTAGTTAAATTTATAAAAATTTAATAAAATGTTATAAACAGTATAAATATATAGAATTTCAAATCAATATTATATTTTTGACAAAAACATTAAATTAAAATGATTCATAGTTATAATAAATTAATTAAAAATATGGTAAGACATACCTGGGTGGTCTGATTAATGCCTCCGTTGTAAGTATTTTTCTATCATACGGATAGGTATTGTTAGTCGACAGCCAATTGTTGATATAGTCTTTGCAAAATGTTTGGAGACAACACTGGGCTATAACTGGACAGCAAATAATATTCAGACATATACTACATGTTAGCTCAGCCCTATCCGATGGACTTAGATTAACAAATCGGTCGCAATCATAACCAGGCATTTTGTATGTGTGTTTAAAATGTGACAATTTTTAATTAACTATTTAATCAATGATTACAGCATAATACTAATTGTCAATTTTTTATATAATTAACTATTACTATTAACTTATTTTTTAAATCATTTGAATTCAATACAATAGGAATTAATTATATTTTTTGTTCACTTTATAAATATTTAGATATATTGACATTATTTTTATAATGGTCATAAATTAATTTATTTTAACAATAAATTATATTACTAATGCATATGAAATAATATTAATTATTTAAAGTTAATATTTTATTTTAACTTTATTAATAATTTTTTTATGATCTTAAAATTATAAATATAGTAATATTTTTTTTATCATAGTAACTTATATTAGTGTATTAACAATTGAATTTAATTAATGTAGATAATTATACTTTTAATATAAATGAAATAATAACATAAAATAAATTTTTTTATTATAGTTAACTAATTACTTTTTTAGTAATAAATATTCTAATCATTGATAATAATTAGTTATATTTTTTATTATAATATCTTTTAGTGTTTAAAAATTACATTGCTTATAAAAAAATTGTAAGTATTTTTTCTATCATACGGATAGGTATTGTTAGTGTAGCCAATTGTTGATATAGTCTTTGCAAAATGTTTGGAGACAACACTGGGCTATAACTGGACAGCAAATAATATTCAGACATATACTACATGTTAGCTCAGCCCTATCCGATGGACTTAGATTAACAAATCGGTCGCAATCATAACCAGGCATTTTGTATGTGTGTTTAAAATGTGACAATTTTTAATTAACTATTTAATCAATGATTACAGCATAATACTAATTGTCAATTTTTTATATAATTAACTATTACTATTAACTTATTTTTAAATCATTTGAATTCAATACAATAGGAATTAATTATATTTTTTGTTCACTTTATAAATATTTAGATATATTGACATTATTTTTATAATGGTCATAAATTAATTTATTTTAACAATAAATTATATTACTAATATATGAAATAATATTAATTATTTAAAGTTAATATTTTATTTTAACTTTATTAATAATTTTTTTATGATCTTAAGATATAGTAATATTTTTTATCATAGTAACTTATATTAGTGTATTAACAATTGAATTTAATTAATGTAGATAATTATACTTTTAATATAAATGAAATAATAACATAAAATAAATTTTTTTATTATAGTTAACTAATTACTTTTTAGTAATAAATATTCTAATCATTGATAATAATTAGTTATATTTTTTATTATAATATCTTTTAGTGTTTAAAAATTACATTGCTTATAAAAAAATAAAATATTTTTTAACTTTATAAGCTATTTGTTTTGTTTATAATTTAGTGAAATAAATTTACAATACACATTTGATTCAAATATGATAATTTTATAAAATAATTAATAATAAAAAACTAATTTTTTATTAAACTTAAATTCTGATTAATTAATTTTTATTCGATAATTTTTATATAACAGTTGCCTAAAAAAATAAAATTTAATACTTAATATAAAAAATTTAACAAATTATTAAATATTTTACCCCAAAGCCTAAAACTTTTATTGGCAATGATGTCGTATAATACCATTGATTTGCTTTATAATCATATACTTCAACCGTTTCGGTTGGTTCATAATCTATAAATTAAATATAATTATTTATTTAAGAATTTTTTAAGTAGAAATTAGAAAAATATAATATAAAAATAATAAAATAGTTATTTTAGAATAATTATCAATTTAAAAAAGAAAAATATTAAATTATTATTAATTAAATTTTAATAAATTTACGTAAAGGCAAATTATGTAAATAAATTAATATTGAGAGACAATAGAACCGATCATATGGTGTGTTAACCTGTATGACCGATCGTTAGTTGATCATTCACTTATAATTAGTTAATTTATTCAATTGAACACAAACTTTATTAAATAAAATACAATATATAGAAAATAATATATATTATAAATTAGTATAATAATGATAACTAACAATTGACGGAATTAAATGTGTTATAAATACATGTATTTATAGAGATTCTAAAGTAAGCATTTAGTGTATGAATATAAATAGTTTCAGTATCATAGTAACAATGGTTTGGAGACTCATTAAAAAAATATGTTAATTACATTGATATAAGTTTGGAGGAAAGTATATTTAACTACGTGATCGGTCTATTGACCCATCAATGTTATAACATTTATACAATATAATAAATAAAATTATACCTTTTGTTCGTCCACCCAATGCATATAATTTATCATTAAATGCAATCGTTTTTAAATCTACTTCTTTCTAAAAAGCATTGGCGCTACAAATAAAATATGTATAGAAAATTATAATAATTATAATTGTAAGTAATTATAATAAACCAATTTGTGTCCATTGATTTGTTTTTGGATCATATGTCTCACACGATTTCCCATTATTATAACTATCACCGCCGCAAACATATATTTTATCCATAAATGATGCTGAACCAAAACTACGTCTTTAAATATAAAATTATTAATATTAAAAAAATTAAACTTTAAAAATTGTTTTTGTATTTTAATCTGAAGTGCAAATATTTAATAAATATTTTATTTAAATTTATTTTTATTTATTTAATAAATATTCTATAATAATACTGATTACAAGTATATAAGATTTTATAATATATAAATATACAATCTATATAGACATATTTTTAAACTAACCTTTTATATTTCATATTAGCCATTGGTTGCCATTGTTGTGTATTTTGTATCATATCTTTCCATTGTATTAAAACATGATTTTAAATTATTACCTCCGATAGCATATATAAACCCTTCGTGTGCTACCAGTTCCAGAACACTTCTTTCCGTAGCCATTGGTGTTGTAAAAGATCACTCATTAGTATTATTTGGCGAATAATATTCACATGATTTTATAACATTTACTGTAAAATAGAATTATAAAAATGTCTTAATTTTAAAAAAAATTATTTAGTTTATTATTTATAAATAGATTAGAATAATATTTTTTTATTTGTTTAATTTCTATTATTAAAAATTAAATATCGTTTTTTTAAATAAAATTTATTATCAATTCAGAATTATGATTATGATGATATATCTATAAAATTATGCATATATTAAATATATATAAATTGTTACTAAAAAACTATTGCTACTAAAAATATTTTATAAATTAAAATAAGAATTGACTTGTACGAGAATATACTATTTTAAAATAAAAATGTTTTATACATTGTTTTTATATCTTATAAATTGTTTACTTACTATTATCCTTATCAAAACCACCACATACATATAAATTATTTTCTAATACAGTTGCATCATGCTGACTTCAAAATAATTTATACATTAATATTTATATATTCTAATAATTTTATTTTAATTGTTTAACATAATTTTTATATTTTATATAAATACCTGCGTATTATATTCATGGATGCAATTGATTTCCATTGATATGTTTGTGTATCATATGTTTCAATGCTATTCAATTTGTTTTCATTCTTAATATAAATTAATAAATTTTGTTTTATAAATTAATTAAAGATTAATAATCATTTATTTCAATATAAGTTTTTACATACATTACTGCCGCCGATTGCATACAATTTTGAATCCATTGAAATCAAACTAAAATAATGCCTCGGAGTAGACATTGATTTTACTGATTGCCAAACACTTGTGTGTGTATTATATTTATAACATTCAGACAATACAGATGTCCCATCATTTCCACCGCATATATAGATAAAACTATCCGATAAATCAATTGTTTTCTAAATTAACATAAAATAAAATTGTTTGCTATAATTGAAGTTAATTAATTTTATAATAGTAATTTTAATTGTAATTTATAATTGAAAAATCAACTTTTTTAAAATACAAAAATTTAAATTATAATTATATCTCTCTATTTACTTATTATTTTTTAAATTATAAACTTTATACTACCTGAGATGATACCAATGGTAAGTTTACTGTATTTGTGGTAAGCTATATAAATGAAAGTAAATTTAATTAGTAATCTATTAAAACAATTATTGATTATTATTTTAAATGATTTATTAAATTTTAATTACCCGAAGATTACTCAAACTTGTAGTCAATTGTTTTCTATTTATTAAGTCTTGAATTGCTTTCAAAAAGTTTTCCCTTTCGGTCTCTAATTCATTAATTTTCTTAACAATGACTCTTCTCTTTGAATGTTTGATGGATTGTATCGACAATTGTTTAAATGATTTGTCAGATATTCTAATATTATTACTTCAGTACAACCCTTATCCTGGAAATCACATTTGATTTGAAGTTTTCCCAACATATTAACCATAATTCTAAACAACAAAAAATTAATAAATATTTAGTTAAATTTATAAAATTTAATAAAATGTGATAACCAGTTAGGGTTAGATTGAGATTCCCAGGGAGGTAAGTTCCCAAATAAAATCCCTCCAATTATCCCGGAAAAAATGGAAAATATATTATATTCCCTCCCTTGATCGTTAGAAAGTGAAAATATAATTTGTCATATATTAAAAAGTATATAATCTCAATGATTATGTGTTTCAATTGGGACTACTATGTTAGTAATAACTCAATCAAAATGTGATTCAAATAATATTAAACATTTAGTAAAAACTTTAAATACATTTTGTAGACATTTACTATACAAATGTGGTTTTAATTAAACATTATGTGAAGTGAGTTAGGGTACGATAGATGGTACCACAAGGAAATGTCTTCTCAGGGAACAGGGAATATAAGGAACTTATGAAAATAATACGAGGGAGAGAATCTGATCTAACCCTATATATATATATAAATTCAAATCAATATTATATTTTGAACGAATAGATTTTTTATTCATTATATTTTAAATAAACTAACTTTAAAATTATAATTAAAATGATTAATTAATTAAAAATATTATTTTAAACAATATGGCAAGACATACCTGGGTGGTTGGGTTAATGCCTCAGTTGTAAGTGTTTTTCTATCATACGGACAGGTATTGTTAGTTGACAGCCAATTGTTGATACAGTCTTCGCAAAATGTTTGTCGACAACACTGGGCTATAACTGGACAGCAAATAATATTCAGACATATACTACATGTTAGCTCAGCCCTATCCGATGGACTTAGATTAACAAATCTGTCGCAATCATAACCAGGCATTTTGTATGTATGTTTAAAATATGTTAATTTTTAATTAACTATTTAATCAATTGAATACAACATTATACTAATTGTCAATTTTTAATACAATTAACTATTACTAATAACTTATTTTTAAATCATTTGAATTCAATACAATAGCAATTAATTATATTTTTTGTTCACTTTATAAATATTTAGATAAATTGACTATATTTTTATAATAGTCATAAATTAATTTATCTTAACCATACTACCAATGCTACTAATGCATATGAACATAATATACATGATAGTAAATTTATTAGTGTAATAACACTAGACTTTTAATTAAAAATACATAATTTATATAAGTATATTATTATTTTAGTTTATAATATTATAAATATTTGTAACATGAGTTATGATAAATAATTTTAAATKATGAAATAAACAGTTAAAACTACAATTATTTTATATTTTATTTTTTTGCTAATTATTTTAGCAATAAATTTTATTATTCAATGATTATAACTATAGTATTTTTTATTACTGTATTAACTTTAATTGTCTAACAATTAGACTGCTAATGTATACACCCATATATATATAAAATTATATATATAAATATAACATTTTTTATAATTAACTAAAATAAATTTATAATAATATTCTAAAAATGCGTCAACTACATAACACTGATAAATTATTAATAAAAATTTATATATTGTTATTACTGTAAATTAAAATTTTATTAATAGTTAAAATAACTTAATTATTAATTAATATTTATTTATTAAACTCTGTATATTATATATGATTTAGTTGTAATTAACTATTAATTATTATTTAATACTATAAAAAATCATTTAATACTTAATTTATATTTTTGTTATTGCTGTTAACTTATACTAATTTATATATATATTTAAATATTTATATACTTTATTATATAGAATTTATATTAACAATATTTCATAAAGTAATTATCTTAGCATTAAATTATACTTTTAATTTAAATGAAATAATAACATAAAATAATTTTTTTAATTATATTTAACTAATATTTTTTTTTGATAATAATTATAGTAATATTGTTATTATTATATTATTTTTTAGTGTTTAACAATTACATTGATTATATAAAAATAAAATATGTTGATATTAAATTAATGTTATTGTTAAATTGTTAATAATTTAGTTAAATATATTAACAATAAACATTTAAATAAAAATATGAAAAAATATAAAATAATTAATAATAAAAAACTCATTTTTATTAAACATAAATTCTATGATAAATTAATTTTTATTCGATAATTTTGATATAACAGTTGCCTAAAAAATACAATTTAATAATTAATAAAAAAAATATTAACAAATCATTTAATATTTTACCCCAAAGCTTGCGACTTTTATTGGCAATGATGTCGTATAATACCATTGATTTGCTTTATAATCATATATTTCAACCGAATCTGTTGGTTTCTTGTCTATAATTTAAATAAAATAATTTATTTTAGAATTAAATCTTTTTATGTGTAATTTATAGATTAATTAAAATAGAAAAATAATTTATATACAATTAATAAACTTTATAGTTATTTTAAATAAATTATATAATTGTAATAAAAAAGAAAAATTTTAAAACTATTTATAGATTAATAAAATTATAATAAATATGCCAATTTTTGTTAATAATATATTAATAATAAATAAAATATACCATTTGTTTGTCCACCCAATGCATATAATTTATTATTAAATGCAATCAATTTAAAACCAGCTCTTTCTAAAAGCATTGATGCTATAAATAAAATATAAGTACAAAGTATAATAATTAATAGTAATTAATAATAACCAACCAATTTGTGTCCATTGATTTGTTTTTGGATCATATGTTTCGCATGATTTCCCATCACTATTACCCTCACCGCCGCAAACATATATTTTACCCATAAATGATGCTGAACCAAAATAACCTCTTAAAATAAAAAATATTAAATGTAATAAAAATAAATTTTTAAAAGTATTTGTGTATTGCATATTTATACTGATTACAAGTTTAAATAAATATATAAAATTATATATTAAAAGTAACCTAGTATTTGTCATATTAGCCATTGGTTGCCATTGTTGTGTTTTTGTATCATATCTTTCCATTGTATTTAAATATTCTTTACCATTATTACCTCCGATAGCATATATAAATCCATTGTGTGCTACCAGTGCCAGACCATTCCTTTTGTGACTCATTGGTGTTACAAAAGACCACTCTTTATTATTTTGCGAATAATATTCACATGATTTTATAGTATTGTCTGTAATATTAAATTACATAAATAAGTTTATCTCTCTTAAATTTTAAAGAAATATAATTTAGTTTATATAAAAATATTTAATAACATTTTATTTGATTTGTTTTCATTAGCTGATATTGATTTTTACTAAATGACTATATCTCTACAAATAGCAGAAAGTTTTTATTTTTTAAATAATTATTATCAATAATTAATTAAAGATTATGTTTAAAATTTCATTATTATTTTTGTTTTTTTAATCTAATTCTCATTTATCTTTAAAATCTATACATCTAATAAATTGTATTAATTTACTAAAAATCTATAACTATATAAATATTAATTTATATTCAAATTGCGTTTTATATAACAATACCTTACATTTTTCTAATGTCTAGAAATAATTCAAATTCAAATAAAAACTCTGTTGTTAAATGAAATATTATTTACTAAATATAAATATATGTGAATAGATTATGTTAAATTAGTTTATATATAAATTAAATTAATAAATTAAATATTATTTTATATAATTTATATTTATTTATTATACACTTACCATTGTAACCACAACATACATATATTGTATTTTCTAATACAGTTGCATCATGACCACTTTATAGCATTTAATACATTTAATTAATATTTAATTATGATAATAATTTTGTTTTAATTGTTTAACATACCTGCGTATTATACTCATCGATGCAATTGATTTCCATTGATTTGTTTGTGTATCATATGTTTCAACACTATTCAAATTGTTTTTACCCTTTAATATATAATTATTATATGTTTTATAAATAAATTTAATATAAATAATAATTTATATTTTTTTAATAAGATTTTACATACATTACAACCGCCGATTGCATACAATTTTGAATCCATTGAAATCAAACTAAACTCAACCCTTGGAGTGGACATGGATTGTATTGATTGCCAAACACTTGTTTGTGTATTATATTTATAACATACAGACAATCGTGATGTCCCATCATATCCACCGCATATATAGATAAAGCTATCAGATAAGTCAATTGATTGCTAAAATTTATAAAAATAAAATATATATTTAATAAAAAATTTAACATATAATTTTTAATAAATATAATTTGTGAACACATAACAACATAACAACATAAAAACATAAAAACATAAAAACATAACAAACAAAATAATAATCATTTTTATATGATTTTCTTATTTCTAAACTAAAATATATTTTATATAATTTAATTAAGTTTTATACTTTCTAATTAAATATATAATAATAATTTATAAATGAAATCAKTTTTTATTRGAATTTATAAWAATATAAATGAATTTTACTTAAATAATTGYKTTTCTCTTAATTTAGTAATTAATTATTTTTATATAAATATTAAACTTAATACTACCGGTGATGATACCGATGGTAAGTTAACTGTATTTTTGGTTAGCTATGAATGAAATTAAATTTTTATTTTAGTAATCTATTATTTTTTAATAATTTAATTTAATACCCGAACATTACTCAAACTTGTAGTCAATTGTTGACTGTTTATTAAATCTTGAATTGTTTTTAATAAGTTTTCTCTTTCGGCCTCTAATTCATTGATTTTTCTTAACAAAGACTCTTCTCTTTGATTGTTTAATGGATTGTTTAAATTGTTTAAATGATTTGTCAGATACTCTAATATTATTACTTCAGTACAACCGTTATCCCGGAAATCACATTTGATTTGAAGTTTTCCCAACATATTAACCATAACTCTAACAAAACAAATAAATATTTAGTTAAATTTATAAAATTCAATAAAATTTGATAAACAATATATATATATATAAATGAATATAAATTAAAATTAATATTATATTTTTAACAAAAATTTATTTATTCATGAGATAATGTTATAATGATTTCAGTTATGATTAAAGTGATAGATAAAGTTATAATTAATTAATTAAAAATATTACTTTGAAAAAATATGACATAATGTTATGAATAATGTGATACATAATTCTAGACAATAATAAATAATTATTTAATTTACAAAAAGTTTACTTTAATATTAGTAACAAGTATTTAATTTTTTTATAGCCGTAACTCAATAAAATGTGATATAAACAGTAAATATTAATAGAAAAAATTATATTATATTTTAACTAATAACTAATTAATTAATTTAATAATAGTTTTTACAACATAAACGTGTACAAAGTTAGAATTAAAATAATTTATAACATATTAATTATAACTCTAACAAAACAACATTCAAATCTATATAATATATTTAACCTAAATTATTTTATTAAATATTATATTATTACCAAGTTTAGATGAAAACTAATTTAATAATTGAATTGCTTAAATATTAAATAACAAAAAAATATTTACATACCTGGGTGGTCGGGTTAATGCATCCTTAGTAAGTGTTTTTCTATCATACGGACAGGTATTGTTAGTCGACAGCCAATTGTTGATACAGTCTTTGCAAAATGTTTGGAGACAACACTGGGCTATAACTGGACAGCAAATAATGTTCAGACATATACTACATGTTAGCTCATCCCTATCCGATGGACTTAGATTAACAAATCGGTTGCAATCATAACCGGGCATATTGTTTGTATGGATGTGCAAAATATGCCAATTATATATATATATAATTAACTATTAAATCAATTGAATACAACACAATACTAATTAATTTTTTCTTGTTGCTAAAATATACTTATATAAAAATATATATGTAACTATATTTTTATATTGAATTCTAATTATCTTAATGATAAATTATTTTAATCTTTATTCACATGAAATAGTGAAACACTTAAAGTTAACATTTAATATTTCATTTTAACTTATTTAATTTTTAGTAATCTTAACGATTAAAACTATAGTAATTTTTTATTATCTGTAACTTTATGTGTATTAACAATAAACTCATAATATACAGGTATTTATATTTTTATATTAATATATTATAGTTTGTAACATGACTTAAATATTTAAATAATTAACATTATAAGCGTTATTATTAATAATCTTTGTTTTATTTAATAAATAAATTAAATTAATTTTTTTGTAAATATATTTATTTGTGTAATATTTTTTATTAATGATTATTTAGTTAAATATTTTTACTGTAGATTTATTTTTTTATATTAAATCTAAAATAAAATAATTTATAAAACTTAACTCAAAGTTCAATTTTTGATATTATAAATACTTATAATAGATTATATAATAAATAATACAGTATATTCATTTATAAATAGTTAGTTAAAACATTAAATAAAAACAAATTATTAAATTAAATAATATTTTGTTTTTATTTAATGTTAATTAATATAATATACTTTAAATATAGATAGAATAGTTAAATTTTTTAATACGAAAATATTATTTTTTGATTTTTAATAAATATTTAATAAAATAGTTATTATTATTCTATTATATATCTGTTCTTTAAAATATTAAATTAATTAAATATCTAATAATAATTTTAGAAAATTTATTGTTTTATCATTTAATAAAATTTGCAAAATTAAAAATAAATATTATTTCGAAAGAAATTAGTATGATCAATTTTTATAAAAATTTACTTGAAATTTAATTTTAATTAAATAATCCAGTGTAATTATTATTGAAAAATCATGTATTTTATAATTAATTATACTATTAGAATTTTTCAAAATAATTATTACTAAATTTAAATTTTGTATATAATTTCATTATTATGTTATAACAGTTGCCTAAAAAAAATAAAATAAAACAATTAATAAATTGTATGTTAAATTATTTAAGTTATAAATTATTTTTACTCCAAAACTTCTGGATTTTATAGGCAATGATGTCGTATACAACCATTGATTTGATTTATAATCATATACTTCAACCGTTTCGGTTATATTCATATCTATAAAAATTTTATAATAACTATTTATTTAATATAATAGATATTTCAAACATACATTACATTGAAAATAGTAATTGATAATAACGTTAAATAAGATAAAATAACTAATTATATAATCTATATAACTATATATTGTTTAATAAAAATAATAAATACCATTTTTAATGCCACCCAATGCATATAATTTATCATTAAGAGAAATCAATTTAAAAAAGCGTCTACCTAATATCATTGATGCTATATAAATAAAAATATAATAATAACATAATTAATATACAATTCAACAAAAAAAACTACATAACAACAAAAAAATCATAACAAACCAACCAATTTGTGTCCATTGATTTGTTTTCGGATCATATGCTTCACATGATTGACAATTACTATTACCCCAACCGCCGCAAACATATATTTTATCCATAAATGATGCTGAACCAAAATAACATCTTAAAATATTTTTAAAAATATATTATTAATTTTTATCTTATAAAATATTCCAAAAAAAAAATAAATAATTTTTTTTAAATATTACTTGTTTTACTGTATTTTTACTGTAAGCAAGTTAATTTTAAATAAATAAATTGAAAAAAACTAACCTAGTATATCTCATATTAGCCATTGGTTGCCATTGTTGTGTTATTGTATCGTATCTTTCTATTGAATTTAAATAATTACCTCCATTTTTATTTTGACCACCAATAGTATAAATAAATCCGTTGTCAGCTATGACTGCCATACCATGATTTTCCGTACTCATTGGTTGGCCAATAGACCAGTGATTTGTATTTAGTGAATAATATTCACAAAAATTGATAACATTGCCTAAATGTTTATTGTTTTATATTATTTACAAAAAATATATATAATATACTTAACATTTTATATTATATATTAAACATAATACACAATAATAAAACAAAAATTGTATAAAATATGCAATAATAAAATTTTTGTAGCAAAAATTGGTTATATGTAATTTGTTAATATAAATATATGTAATTTATATATTATGTGATGGATAAAATAATAATAAAATTCAAATAATTATTAATTAAACTAATTTAATAGAGTCAAATAATTAATTAATTTAGTTATAGACTTACCATTTTCACCACCGCATACATATATATGATTTTGTATTAGCTGTAGCATCATGATTACTTTATAAAATTTAATAAATCTAATTTATAAATATTTTAAAATAAAATTGATTTTAAACTAATTTTTAATTATATAAAATACCGGCGTATTATATTCATCGATGCTATAGATTTCCATTGATTTGTTTGTTGATCATATGTTTCAATGCTATTTAAATAATTACCCTATATATATAAAGAATATTTTTTTATAATACATTTATTTATTTTTTATTAAAAAATTAAAGAAAAACAAATTTCTACATACATTCCAACCGCCGATTGCATACAATTTTGAATCCATTGAAATCAAACTAAAACTCATACGTTTAATAGACATGGATTGTATTGATTGCCAAACACTTGTTTGTTGATTATATTTATAACACACTGACAATTGTGTTGTCCCATCCCATCCACCGCATATATAGATAAAACTATTGTCGGATAAGTCAAGTGTTTCCTAATTTAGACAAAACATAATAATAATAATAATAATAATAATAATAATAATAAGTTTATATTGAATATTTTTAATTATTTATTAAAAAACCAGTTGAAAATGCTTGAAAAGAACTCCTTAACTTAAAAAATCAAAAAAATATTTTTGTAACTGAGCCTAGATTCGAACCTATGTCCTTGTGGGACAGACAGACAGACTTTTAGAATGCATATACGTACTCCTTTCAGGAGTTCGTGATAAATAAATACTAGTTTAATATTATTATTATTATTAAATGCAGTTGTATTAAATCAGTAAGTTCAATTAGTAAAGTAAATAACTACAATTAATAATAATTATTTATATATTATAATTAAATTTTAAAGAAAAATTCGAATAGATTACATTATTATTATTAATTTCAATTGAATTTATTGAATAAACACAAATAAATATGTTACTAACTACAATTAAAAATTTAAAATAAAATTTATTAATCATAATAAGTTAGTTTGTTTGTTTGTTTTCTAATTAATATAAAGTAATATACTTAAATATTATAAATAATATTTTTTACTTTTATAAATTTAGTTAATTTCATGAGCTTTTTATATAGTATGTATTAATTAAAAATTATAATTTTAAATTAAAACAAAGTTCAAGTATTAAATTTTATTGAAATATTGATTATTAGAATAATTAACTTTACCTGCTTAACCTTATCTAACATATACTTAGGTATATTTTCAATTGAATTATAATTATCTTAATGATAAATTATTATAATCTTAATTCAAATGAAATAGTAAACACTTGAAGTTAACATTTAATATTTCATATTAACTTATTTAATTTTTATTAATACAATTTTTTTTGTAATCTTAACGATTAAAGCTATAGTAATTTTTTATCGGTAACTTTAAGGGTATTAATTATAATCTCATAATTATGAGATACTGCTATACTAATATTTATAATTTTATCTAAATATATTATAGTTTTTAACTACTATAAATATTTATAACATGACTTAATTATTTAAATAATTAATTAATAATCTTTGTTTTATTTAATAAATAAATACAATTTAAAATTAGTTAATAATATTTAGTAGCTGAATATTTTTATTATAAATTTTTATTTATTTGATTTTCTTTTATTTTTATACTAAAATAAAATAATTTCATAAAATTAAAACAAAGTTCAATTATTGATATTATAAGTACTTATAAATTATTAATAATTTTTATTATTATTAAAGGTTTGATTAATTTATATGATTAATTAATACAGTATATTAATAGGTATACTCAATATAATAATTATTGATATGTATAGTATATTTAGTATAAAGTATAAATGTATTATCACATTAAGTTAAAATTAAATATAAAATATTTAAAATAATAATATAAAATAATAAAATAATAGTAATATAAAATTAAACAAATACATAAAATATTTTTAAAAACCAATTTTATTATTAAAATATTTTTATTTGAAGAATAATAATAATAAACACAAGTTATTTAAATTTAATTTTGAGAAATTAATAATTTAAGATAAAATTATTGTTTATTTGTTTCATCTTATATTAGTATTATTTTACTAATTTTTTGTTTAACTTTTTTAATGTTGGTTTTTCTTTTTCCCATTAAATAAATTAATACATTTTTTAGCCAATAAGTCAATTAGCAATCAGATTCACAACCTAATTATTAGCACAAACAATAGATACAAAATTATTAAATAATTAAATTAATAATAATAATATTTTTTACTATGTTAAATTTAATTAAATGTAATTTTTTGGTATTCTATAAATTACTTAAATAATATATATATATATATATATATAAACAATGATAATAATACTATATATATATATATTATATTTAAAAATTACCTCGACCAGTAAAATTAGGATTAACCCAAACGCTTGGATCTTGTAGTAATAATACTGTTAATACAATGACAATTTTTATTAAACTAACAAAACCACCATCCTCATTTGTTGATTGATGATGTTGTCCAATCATTTTTAGTATTATTATTATGACAATGTGTTTTGAAACTAGATTAATTCTATTAGTCCAATAGTTAATTATTAATTAATTTTTATTCTTTTATGTTAGTTTAAACTATTTTATGCATTTTTTTATAAAAATAAAATCAAATTAAAAAACTCCATTTAAATAATTTAGTTAAAAAACATGTTATTAATTTATTTTTAATTAAGTTAGTAATAAAAAATGGATGATAATATGTGATATGAAATAATTAATTAATAAATATTGTAATATAATTATATATTTTTTAAAAACTCAATTTTCTAAATTTTTCAGTAATTTTAATGGCTTTAAAAAACATATGTAACTTTTTACTTAATTTATTACTTAATAAACTAATTAATAAAAATGGATGAAATTTTATATAAAGATAGTTATAAAATGATAAATATATTTATATTTTTTTCAAAAACTAAAAAGATTTTAAGTTTTCCTAACTTATTATCCATAAATCTAATAAAACAACAATTATTCCCGACTTTAGCCCAAAACAACATATCATTACAATTTAAATCATTAGTTAATTTTGTTAATTTTGTTAGTATGTCATAAATTAGTTATCTTTTATTATTAATATTAAGTAATAAAATTTAATAAAATTTTTATTCATTTTTGTTCAATAAATTGAAAATTACACTTGAAAAATCATAACATATAAATGTTATATTTAAATAATTTTGGATTTTATAAATTCAATTAATAATTCTAAAATCTATACATTATACATATAAATTTTGATAATATAATTATGAAAATTATTTATAATTTTAGATTAAAAAATGTTTTTCAAGTGACTTTTTTTAGTTTATTTGTTGAAATCTCCCATTTGATCAAGTTGCTCTTTATACTTGTTTCCATTAATGACCAATAATTGTGTCATCAATACTATCAGGATTACCACAAAAACAGCTAAATCTTGAATGATTGACATTATTGTTGTTTTTGTTACCACTGTTTGTAGTTAAAAATAATTTATTAATATTAATAAAATATTATTATATATAATTGTAAAAAAATTTTACCTTTAAAAAATTTACTCAATTAAAAACTAGTGATGTGAGTGAGTTGTCAGTTAGTCTTATAATAATATTATACTTTATATAAATATTTTTCATAAATGTCTGTTTTTTAATTATAAATTTTTGTAACCATATGTTTTTTATAAGTTACATAATAAAGTAAATATAATAATTAATTTTTAACATTCAATTGAATTTTTTAGATTTAATTAATTTTTAAAAAATATTACTATTACTCTAATAAATTAGGGTTGAGAAAATAAAAAATACTAAAAATTATTTTTTTTTTGTAATTTTACTTTTAATTAATAATTTGCAGATTACAAAATTATTATTTTATAATTAAAAAAAACAAAATATATTATATATGTATAAGTAATAATTAATTATCAAATATTACATTACTATAATAATTAATGTTTTACAATGAATATATAATATACTCAATCATAATAAAATAGCTTTTTAGGCAGATAATCTATATACTGTTCATAATAACAAAATCACCATGCTCATTTGATATTGTTTGTTTATCCAATCATTTAATGACAAAGTGTTTTGAAACTTCAGATTAATTTTATTAGTTAACTAGTTAACTATGAATTATTTTTTTTTAAATTTTATTCTAAGCAATTTACAATATATACTATATCCTATTTTTTAGCTAAATCAAAATAAAAAAATACATAATTTATAAATTTAATTAAAAAAATTATTAATTTTTTCTCAAGTAATAAAAATGKATGAAAATCTAATGTGAAATATGAAATAATTAAATAATAAATTTATTAATATTTAAAAAAAACTCATTTTCTAAATTTATTAACACAATGTGTTCTTAATGGCTTTAAAAAAAACTGTAAATTATTACTTATTTTTTTTTTAAATTATTTAATAATAATGGATGAAATACGGTATAAAATTAGTTATGAAAACAACAACAACAACTCTCCCCAACTTAAGCACAACAGTTAATTTTAATGTTATTATTTTAAAAATAATAATTTTTTTCAACAGAATATGTACCAGATATGTTATTTAATTTATAAAATATTSTTTATAATAATAATAATAAATAATAGTTTATAAAATCTAATGTTTTTCTAATGTTAATAACAATAATAATTCAATACATAKTACACATAATACAGTATTAACACATAAAARCATGTCTTTTTTTCACAAAATTAGTTTTATAGTAAATAATAATAATAATAATATAAAATATTAAACTGTATTATAGAACTACAAAAAATTTTAAAAATTAATTAAATTTTAATAATTAAACAAGTTTTAAAATTATAAATATTCATATAATATTAAATAAGTTATTAATTTAAAATAAAATAAATAAATTTTTTAATTATAATTTAAAATATTGTTATTTTTATTGAACTTTAAAATTTTTGACAACTTTAGTTATTAGTCTTATACTTTTGTTATAACAGTAGCCTATAAAATAAAATATTATAATTAGAAAAAAATTAACTTAAAAATATCATAAATTATTTTACTCCAAAATATCCAACTTTTATGGGCAATGATGTCGTATAATACCATTGTTTAGACTTATAATCATATATTTCAACTTTATCTGTGTAACCATCTTTGTAAAAGCAAAATTTTGTTTATTAATTTAAATATTTTATTAAATTTTGTATTTGAGTTATTGTTAAACTTAATAATGAATTATGAAGTTCTGAACAATTTAATTAATTTAAACAAATCAGTTAAATGTAATTAAGAAATAATTATTATAAATTTTATAATAATTTTAATAAATTAACTTATAAAAAATTTTGTTATTAATATAATAAATAAAAATTTACCCTTTGTTTCGCCACCCAATGCATATAATTTATCATTAAAAGCAATCAATTTATATCCATATCTTTTTAAAAGCATTGATTCTATAAATAAAATATAAATAAATAATAGTATAATAATTAATTGAATTAATAATAATAATAATAATACTGTAATAACCAACCAATTTGTGTCCATTGATTTGTTTTCGTATCATATGTTTCGCATGATTTCCCATCACTATTACCATAACCGCCGCAAACATATATTTTATCCATAAATGATGCTGAACCAAAAAAATGTCTTACAATGAATAAAATAATATTAATAAAAATTTTAATGAAATAAAATAATAGTATTTAATAAATATGTTTTTATTTGCTTTTAAATTAACTAGTTATAGAAAATAAACATAGAAATTTTTTTTTTTATAAAATTACAATTAGTTTATTTTTAATATTTAACAATAATATATTATCATAAAGTAATTTGATAAATAAATATTAAAACTAACCTAGTATTTTGCATATTAGCCATTGGTTGCCATTGTTGTGTTTTTGTATCATATCTTTCCATTGTATTTAATGAATTTCCATTATAGCCTCCGATAGCATATATAAAGCCATTGTGTGCTACCAGTGCCAGACCATGCCTTTCCTGACTCATCGGTTGACCGAAAGACCACTCATCAGTATTTGGTAAATAATATTCACATGATTTGAAATAATTGTCTACAAAAAAATAAAGTAATAAAATAGTTGTGAAATCAAAAAATTATATATAATACACTTATGTTAGTAAAATAAAAATTATTTTGTTTAATCAAATATTTTGTTTATAAATAAATATAACACTTACTATTGTAACCACCACATACATATATTGTATTTTGTATTACAGTATCATCATGGCCACTTGATGAAATTTAATTTGTTTAATCAATGTTTTTTATGAAAACAATAATATTAAAAAAATTATTTAAATTATAAAAATATAGTTATAGTAATACTAGCGTATAATATTCATCGATGCAATTGATTTCCATTGATTTGTTTGTATATCATATGTTTCGACACAATTAAATATATCTTTACCCTTTATATATAAAATTAATTTAAAATTTTTAATAAATTAATTAATTAAAAAACATTTTTTTTTGCAAAACAAGATTTTTACATACATTATAGCCGCCGATTGCATACAATTTTGAATCGTATGAAACTAAACTAAAATCATACCTCGGAGTGGACATGGATTGTATGGATTGCCAAACACTTGTGTGTGTATTATATTTATAACATACAGTCAAAACAGATGACCCATCACTTCCACCGCATATATAGATAAAACTATCCGATAAGTCAATTGATTGCTATAATTAAAAACAAAAACAAACAACAATATAATAATTAATTTTTAATTAATTAGACTTTTATTGACTATTAAAAAATATATATTTAAATTATTTACATTATAGTCGTTATTATTATTATTATTATAAATAACTGTTGTATTCAATGAGTTAATACTATTTACATAATAGTTAATTACAATTAATAATATAATGTGATATTTATTTAACATTTTTTTAATTGTTAACATTAATTAAAGTAAATTAATATAATTTTAGTTTTAAAAATAATAATTTTTTACTTTTTTGATATTTAGCTAATGTTATTGATTTTATATAAAAACTCTAAAAAATATATTATCAAAATAGTTGTGACAAAGTTTAAGTATTATTTTAAGTACTGATAGATTACTTATAAAATTTATGTATTGCTTATTATTTATTATTGTAGTAATTATTGTTTAAATTATTAATATTTAATTAATAATATTTAATAATTATTTATTATTATTATTACTTTTATATATTTTTAAAATAATTTTATAATTATAATATTTAACTAATTAATTTTTGTAAATTTAATTAAATGCTTTTGTTTTTAAATAAATATGAAATAAAATTTTTTAAAACATTATTATTAAGTAAGCTAAAATTTAATTAGTATAAAATATATATTTATCAATTTTTATTACTAAATCTAATTAGTATTATCAATTTTATTTAATTGTATCAATACTTAATAAAAATATATAATATGTTATTTGTATATTATCTTAAAAAATAGTTTATAATAGTTTTTTTTGTAGATTAAATTGATTTTTTTTTTAATTTATTGAAATCATATGCTCTGTACTTTTATATTGTATTAATTAAATTTATATTTTTCAAAAATATATAATTATATATTGTAAAGAAAACTAATAACATATAATATAATGTTATCTTATATAGTAAGTTGTAGATATTTTGAACTTTATATAATTACCCTGGATAATTTATAAATTTGTTAACATTAAACTGTTTACAGTATATTTTTTTGTAATATCAAATTTAATTTATCATTAGGAAAATCAAAATATGTGTTTCAGTGTAAATTAATTAACAATAAATAAATTAAACATTTTTTTTAATTAAATATAATAATTAAAAAGTTTTATAGTTAATTAAGAATTTGATTATATTAATACTATAAAAATATTAAATATCTATTTTTAGTAAAATTTATCTTTTTTTTGTCTCATAATTTTGATATAACTGTTGCCTAAAAAATATAATAATTAATAAATAATATATACTGTATATAACTATAAAATAAATGAGAATATATTTTAGTCCAAAAAGCATAGCTTTTATTGGCATTGATTTAGTATACGACCATTGATTTGATTTATAATCATATATTTCAACCGTTTCTATTAGCATATAGTCTATAAGTTTTAAAAAATATATATATTTATTTACAAATCATATCAAATGAATAAATATTATAATTATTATAATAAAGTAATTTATAGCAAATAAATATTATAAATAGTATAATATATAAAAAAATATATATACCTTTTGTATAGCCACCCAATGTATATAATTTACTATTAAATGCAATCAATTTAAAACCATATCTTTCTATAAACATTGATGCTATCAAATAAAAAATAAGTTTAATAATTATACTAATTATTATTTAATAATAATAACCAACCAATTGGTGTCCATTGATTTTTTTCGGATCATATGTTTCGCATGATTTCCCATCACTACTACCATAACCGCCGCAAACATATATTTTATCCATAAATGATGCTGAACCAAAAAAGTATCTTAAAATTTAATAAAAATATATATAAATAATTAAATAAATTAGATAAATAATCTAATAAAATTTAATTAAAAATATATATAAATAAAATTTATTAAATATGTTTAAATATTAAATTATTAATATAATTAATATAAATATTTTTAATTGTTGTGATAACTAGAAATTTCGAAAAATAAACAATGACATTTTTTTAAAAAACAAAAATAAGCTATTAGATTTTATAATTATAATAATAACCAATTTTTATTATAATCATTATCATAATGTAATTTGATATAAATAAATAAATATTTCTAAACTAACCTTGCATATTTCATATTAGCCATTGGTTGCAATTGTTGTATCCAATCTTTCCATTGTATTTAAAACTACATTTCTATTTGAGCCTCCGATATATAAATCCATTGTTGGCTACCAGTGCCAGACCATACCTTTCCTCAATCATTAGTGTCGTAAAATACCACTTATCAGTATTTGGTAAATAATATTCACATGTTTTTAATGTATTGCCTGTAAAATAAAATTACATAAATTTAATATTTTATTGTATTTGTAAAAAAGTTTTTTTTTATTAAAATTTACTAAATAGCTATATGTCTACAAGTATATGATTACTTACCAAAATAAAAAAAATTATCTAAAGTAATATATACTAAAATGTTTTAAATGTCATAGCTATTCATGATATCTCTATTCTATTTAATAATAATATGAAAATTAATAAATTATTTTAATGTTTACTACTACTACTACTACTACTAATAATTGATTAATTAATTTTTAAATAAAATTTTTTTTATTACAACATTAAAACCGCCGATTGCATACAATTTTGCGTCCATTGAAATCAAACTAAACACATCTCTACCAATGGACATGGATTGTATTGATTGCCAAACATTTTCATGTATATTATATTTATAACAATCGGGAAAAAATCTGATCAAACCATCCCATCCCCCGCACATATAGATAAAACCATTGTCCGATAAATTAATTGATTGCTAATTAAAAAAACAAAATAAAAAAAAAATAATAATTAATTTATATTTAATAGATTTTTAATTAAATATTGTTACATACATTAGAATCATTATTGTTAATTGTAGTTGTATTTAATAAGTAAATATAATTAAGTACTGTAACGGGAATGGTATTAGGGTTATATAAAGGTTGGTCCCGTTAACACGGTCCGAATAACCGGATACCGTGAATATATAAAATAATGGATATCACTGCAAAGGTAATGCGCGTAAATTATGGAAGGGTAGCTTATAGGACACTTTACGGGTGTCACGTAATCTCTGTGTGACCCTCTAGGGGCTCACTGGCCACTGGTCAATGTTTATAGTATGTCGGAAACCTATATCGGATCTCTGGGGGGCTCTCCGCAGATACGGAACACCTTCCCCTTTAATACTCCTAGGCTTTAATAATAGTAGACGTTATTTGTTCCCTGTGTAGGCCCGTAGGCCCACAACTTAACTTAATTTTATTATAACATAATGTAAGGGTATCGATAATTCATAAGTATTACATGTGTGAGTTTTTAACAATAATTAATTAACATTTAACTAACTTATAATAATAATAACTAATATTTAACTTTACATAATTAATTAACACAATATTCTTAATTATAATAATTATAAATATCTATAATTAAATATAACATAAATTAGTTATTTAAGATAATCATATTTAGTAATTACATATATAATTTAACATAAGATTTAACATTACATACAGTATAGCAATAAATACAGTATAGCTAATTTAATAATAAACATAATAAAGATATTTTTATTATATTTCTCTGGAGGCGCCCACCATTCTATCACAAGTACAACAAACAATAAAAAGTAATAGTTATTTAACATTTTTGAAATTAATTATTGTAAATAATTTTTGTTGTTGTTATAAATCAAATTTAGTTGAATCTACTTTTATTTTATAAATTTAATAATGAAAATAATTGATATATTTGAGTTATTTAGTCAATTTAATATAAAAATTTAATAAAAAAAATTATTTCAAAATACTTATAAGTACTGATAATTCATTAATAAACTGTACTTATTGACACATGTGTACTTACTGTATATATTATATAAATAAAATAAAATTTATATATATATATAATTATAGATTGCAAAGAAAACTCAATAATAACATTGTTAATAGATTTAATACAAAATGTAGTTGTTACTTTATAATTACCCTGGATAATTTACAATTTTATCTATATATTGTATTGAGTATATATGCTTGTTAATAATATAATCATATAAATCAATGTAGAAAAATTAATCACAAATAAATTAGATAAACTTTTTTTTCTTTTAAAAACTATATACAGCAAATATATAGATATTAGCTATAAATTATGTTATAAACGAAATTTTTGAAAACCTAAAATATTGTATTATATAAAAAATAGATTTATATATAAACAAAGATTTTTCAGTTTTTAAAAATACTTATTACTTGAATGGCAAACACTATTTGTATTTTTTTAATCACTTAATTAAATGCTTAACCATGTCATTAGCTTAAAAATGTTAATCAAAATGTTTTTATTAATAATACAATTTTTATTAATTATAAATTAATTTTCAAATAACATTTTATTTTGTAAATTAAAAATTATTTTTTTAAAATAGTAATGTTTTATAAGTATTATTAAGAGTGAGTTCCATATTTTACACTTTACATAATTACCCTGGATTAGTTTATAAATTTGTGAAACATTAAACTGTTTACAGTATATTTTTTTGTAATTTTTTAAAATTTTTGTTATCATTATGAAAATGAAAATATGTATTTTAGTATAAATGAATTAATAATAAATAAAATAAAATTTTTATTCAGTAAATATATAATTTATTTTAAAAATTATATAATAATATATAATAGAGTAGTTTTATAGTTAATTAATTAAGATTTTGATTAATTTTAAAACACTATAAAAATTGTAAATATACAATTTTTTAGTGCAATTTAACTTGTTGTTTCATAATTTTGTTATAACTGTTGCCTAAATATAAAAATAAAATTTAATAATTAATAAATATATAGATATATATGATAACAAATGATAAAATATTTTACCCCAAAGTCTGAAACATTTATTGGCAATGATTTAGTATACGAACATTGATTTGATTTATAATCATATATTTCAACCGTTTCTATTAGCAAATAGTCTATAAATTTCAAAAAAAAATTATTTATTTATTAATCAAAATATTTTATAGATAGTTATTTCTAAAACTAAATAAAGCTAATTAAAACAAACAAACATAAAAATAAATATAATATTAAATTAATAAACTGGACAAAAAATTTATTTAAAAAAATATCATTTTAGATAAATTAATAATTTTCATAAAAACGTCATAAAAAATTAAATTAATAATAAAAATTATAATAATGTAAGTTATTTAGCAAATTATGTTAAAAATAAAATAATATATAAAAAATATATATACCTTTTGTATGTCCACCCAATGCATATAATTTATCATTAAATGCAATCAATTTAAATCCAGATCTTCCTATAAGCATTGATGCTATCAAATAAAAAATAAGTTTAATAATTATACTAATTATTATATAATAATAATAACCAACCAATTTGTGTCCATTGATTTGTTTTCGGGTCATATGTTTCACATGATTTCCGATCACTATTACCCGAACCGCCGCAAACATATATTTTATTCATAAATGATGCTGAACCAAATGCATATCTTTAATTTTTTTTTTAAAAAATATATATAAATAATCAACTAATTTAGTAGTATTTATTAAATATGTATTTATTTTTAATTGCTGTTTCAACATAAAAAAACACCAATTAGATTTTATAATAATAACTAAATTAATAGTATTTATTAAATATTGTTTTTATTTTTAATTGTTGTGATAACTAGTTATTTCGAAAAATAACCAATCTATTTTTTTCCAACAACAAAAATAACCTATTAGATTTTACTATTATAATAATAACTATTTTTTTATAATCATTATCATAATGTTATTTGATTTAAATTAGAAATCAATATTTTTACTTGTAATTCAAGTAATAGGCATTTTTGAAAACCTAAAATATTGTATTATATAAAAAAATAGATTTATATATAATTAACATATTTCAGTATTTAAAAATGCCTATTACTTGAATGGTAAACACTATTTGTATTTTTTTAATCACTTAATTAAATGCCTAAACAAGTCATTAGCTTTAAAATGTTAAACTAAATGTATCTAAATAATACAATTTATTTTAATTATAAATTAATTTTCAAATAACATTTTATTTTAAAAATTAAAAATTATATTTTTTGTAATTTCAAATTTTTTTATCATTAGAAAAAAATCAAATGAAATGTGTTTCAGTATAAATTAAATTAACAATAAATAAAATAAACTTTTTTTTTAGTAAATATATAATTTATTTTAAAAATTATATAATAATATATAATAGAGTAGTTTTATAGTTAATTAATTAAGATTTTGATTATTATTTAAAACACTATAAAAATACAATTTTTAGTGCAATTTAACTTGTTGTTTCAACATTTAGTTCTAACTGTTGCCTAAAAATAAAATATATTTTATCCATAACTGATGCTGAACCAAATGCATATTTTAAAATTAAAAAAAAATATATATATATATAAATAATCAACTAAATTAGTAGTATTTAATATTAAATATGTTGTGATAACTAGTTATTTTGAAAAATAAAAAAATCTAATTTTTTTCTACAACAAAAATAAGCAATTATATTTTAAAATTATTTAAAAACTAATTTATTATAATCATTATCATAATGTAATTAGATATAAATAAATAAATATTTCTAAATTAACCTAGTATAATTCATATTAGTCATTGGTTGCCAATGTTGTCTATCAAATCTTTCCATTATATTTGAAGCTAGATTTTCATCATAGCCTCCGATAGCATATATAAACCCATTGTTTGCTACCAATGCCAGACTAGACCTAACCGTATTCAATGGTTTTGTAAAATACCACTTATCAGTATTTGGTAAATAATATTCACATGTTTTTAACTGATTGTCTGTAAAATAAAAAAAAATTACATCAATCTAATAATTTTTAGTATATTTATAAAAAAAATTAATTAACTAAAGTTATCTAAATACAAATGTTGACTATTTTTATAATAATATGATAGTTGTTACCTAACTGCAATTGCAATTACAATTGCAAACTTACATATAACCCTAGCACCAATTAATACTTACCCCCACCATTTATGAGATACAGCCTCGTATAAAAATTTTTAAATTAAAATTTTGTCATGAGGGTGCTATATGCGGCTCTATACGGTAGTATAAAATTAATATTTATAATAATTTTGATGAATTTAATATTAAACTTTCAGTATATAAGCAATTTCATTTAATTTTATCTATTTATTGATACCGGTAGCATGTGTACTTAGATAAATATTGTATAAATAAAATAATAATTTATAAAATATATATACAGTTTATATATATATATATATAATTATAGATTGTAAAGAACACTCAATAATATCATTGTAAATAGATACAGAAATAGATATGTAGTTGTTACTTTATAATTAACCTGGATAATTTAAAATTTTATCTATACATTGTATTGTGTTAGTAAAATAATCATATAAATCAATGTAGAAAAATTAATCACTAATAAATTAGATTAACTTTTTTTCAATTTAAAAATATATACAGTATATATAATATATATATATATATATATATATATATTATATTAGCTATAAATTATGTTATAAACTATATTTTCTGAAAACCTAAAATTTTGAATTATATTTAAAAAAAATAGATTTATAGCTAATTTTACAAAATAGACAATTTTTTTGCACTTAATTAAATATCTAAACATGTCATCTTAAAAATGTTAAGCAAAATATTTTTATTATACAATTTATTTTTTTGAAATATTTTGTAAATATAAAAATATAGATTTTCTGTTTAATTTAACTAAATTTGTTAAAAAAAACATATTTTTGTTATATAGACTTTAACTAACTATTGAATAACTAAATATAAAAACAATATATTATATATTAATATAAAATATATTATTTATGTGATTTTAATAGTAATTTTCAATTTATTTTATATAAGAAAAAAAAGTTTTTATTTAGTTAATTATATTATTATTATTATTATATTTTATGTTATTTTAATAAATAATAATAAATAATTATATATATATATAAATTTATAATATTGTTATTGCAAAATATAATATAATATTGAATTATTTATTTGTTTTTATTAAAATTTATTTTGTTTTGTCACATTAGTGAAATACAGTACTATTATACCTGAATAGATATATAATTATTATTTAGTACCAGTTTATTATAAGTTTATATTGTTATTGTAAACTAAAATTAATTACAACAGTTAATTAATAGACATGAAAATAAAATAATTATTATAAAAATTATAGAGTAATATTTAATATATTAATATTGTTTTATAATTAAATAAAATTTTATTTTATATGAAAATAAAATATTTATAATGTTACTATTAAACATATGCTATTGGTATTTTAGTAGTAAATTTTACTATTACTAATATAATATACAGTAAATATTATTATTATTGTTATTTAAAAAAAAACTATAGTAACTAACTGGTACTATTAATTTAAGATAAATTAAAATAAAAATTCAATTTAATATTTATATATATTTTTTTATTCTATTTATTTGTAATATAATAATTTTTGTTATTCCACTTAATAAAAAAAATTAGTGAAGTTAGTAGTTGTTAGAAATCTGTTAAAAATTATTAAAAAAAAAATAAATTTTACCTGTATTTATTTTAAGTAGAAATTATCTATTTTTTTGTTGAAATAATAATGTATGAAAAATTGGCACCAAATGTTGTTTGTGATTTTACTATAGCTGCTGAAACTGATCCGTATACATTTGATATTCCAATTGATCATGGTCAACTATTAGGAAATTTTACATTCACTAACGCATTATTTGTAAATTTTTAATTGAACATAAATTTTTTATTTGTTATTTAATTATATTTTATCAAAAAAAATGATATAATTTATAACTACAAATAATGTTATATATATATATATATATATTTAATTTTATATTGACAACATATATATTTTTAAGAAAAAATTTATAATAATTTATAACTACAATATTGTATACTTTAATTTATGTTTTATTTTATTATATTTTTTATATATTTATAAATTGAATTTATATTTTGTTATCTATTTATCTATAAGTTATTTATTTTTAAATTTTAAGGCTATTAACAATGAGTATAAGTTTTTGTGTGCCCACGAGTTTAACATATTATACAAATTAATTAGTCGAACAAAATATGGGTAATAAAAATATTATAATTTTTTAAGATAATATTTTAATAATTTTAATAATATTTATTTTTTTATTTTTTAAAATCTAATTTAAATAATAAACAAAAACAAAAAATAAATAAATAAAAAAATTCAAGTGCTATTCCTTTTATAAAAGATGAAAATTTTACGGTATGTAAATTATTTTTAAAATAATATTTAACAAAATTAAAAAAAATATTAATAGTTTACATAAATATTTATAGTTAATTATAATTTTTTATAATGTTATTTATTTAATTTAAATATTTAGCTTGATCAAGTTGATTTAGTTTTATATAATTTTAAATTGACTGACAACTATATTAATAATTATTATCTAATTTGGCCACAAAGTTATTATTCCGTATCAATTATGGGCAGCACTTATCCGACAATAGATAGCAATAAATTTGACGGCATCATGCACATTTTTGATATCTATGTAAATTTAATAATAGATAATTATTAAATATTAAAAACTTATATTATAATAAATTATTTTTTCTAGTATTGGTTGGCATTATTATTGACAATCATATTAAGTTTGTCGATAAATTCATTACATTCAAAATAGTAATTAGATTAATTAATTAGATAAATATTATTATGTAATTAAACAACAATTTAAGTTATGTTTACATAAAGAATTTTATCAAATTTTATTTAATCTAAAAATTTTAATCTAATTATTTTTAATTTAATGTTTTAAATTAAACTTAATTTAATCTAGTTTGAATTTCATATTTGCAAATAAGTTACAACTTTGGGATATACTTACAGCAATTTGTTTTAATTGTTAGTATTTTTTTATCTTAATATATAAAATTATTATTTTTATTAACTTATTATTCTATTTTAAAGTTAAAATCAATATGAAAACAAAATTTATTTATTTATATATATTTTTGGGTACACTATTTATTGGTAAATTTTTTACAATTAATTTTATAAATCAAGAAATATTATCAATTTATTTGACAAAACCGTACGAAACAATTGATTCGTACGAAGATATTATGGATAAACCGGAAATGATTGTCAAGTTTGCAATGAGTCAACAAGATTTTCAAGAGTATCAGGTATCAATTTTTTAAATTTTTTAATTTAATAATGGACTAAACACAATTAATACTAAACATTATATTTTATTTTATTTTCTGTAAATTTGTTGTTTGAATTAAACTGTAGTGTATTTGTTATTATTAAAAATTTATTATTAAATATTTTTAGTAAAATTCCGTTTTCGGGATTTTATTTTCTTTATGAAGGGAAAATAAAATATATTC